GTAATATGCAGGCTATGTATGAAATTATAAAATGGGTAAGATATGTATTACAAAAATAAAAATAAAATATGTTGCACGGTTATGAGTTTGGGTAAGAGTTTGCCCGAACTGTTCGTTTTAACGATCACGTGCATCACATGATCTCGCGGACATGGATGTCCGTATGCCCTGAAACGGTGGAACTATTTTGGGTCCAACAGTACTAAAATTTTCAATTCTGATCAGTATATCATCAAAAACACAAGTGCGTCAAATTACCCACCCACGTCATAATACCCTACGTCATTTTCCATCAGTGAATTCACATCCCATTATTCAATTTTCATAATTAACGATTCTTTTCCTTCTATTATTTATTATTTTAGTTAAACTGAGTTAAAAAAAAGTACCATAAACGGCCATATAAAAGACCCGGGTCTGTTACATTCCACCAATTTTAAAACCTATAATAGACCCAGGTCTAGTACATGGCTGAGAGTTTGCATCCTCGAAAGTAAAAATTTGAAATGCATACACACTTTGCATTTGTAATATGCAATCTAGATGTTTGAAAATAATTGCATTTTAATCAAGAAGATCCTGAGATCTGCACACGGGTCTAGTACCTGGTGTCTTTTATATGGCCGTTTACGGTATCTATTTAGATTAATTCTTAAAAAAAGAACTTAACAACAAACGTTTCATAATAAATCTAATAAACGCTTTCCCACTATAAAATTACTCAGCTTAGAACTAAACTCTAACCGGCTGAGACAGATCCACATTAATTCTATTTTGGTTATTGATAGTCCATCATTGTACGTATTTATTAGGCGGCATCAATAATTTAGTTAAACCAGTACTGTATTGTATAGATATAGAGACCTTGATGATAATCCATATAGGATTATCTTTAAGATTTCTATAACAATGCTGGTTTAACGTAAATTATAGATGCCCTGCGTGCTAAAGAATGTTGCGAGTGAGTCAATATTTAGGGAGTAAGTCGCGTAACTGTTATTGTCACTAGTTAAAATCAAAAATATTAGTAAAATTTCAGTATCTTATATGCAACCTAAATTTTATAATTTTTAATAAGCCAATATAAGCTAGCTTTAGATTACATATAAGTTATATATAAGCTATCAGATACTGATATTTTACCGATATTTTGATTTCAACTAGTCTGTAAGGAATTATGAGTGGTACTTGAGTTAAATTGTATTGTATATAGTTTTCCCGATAGTCTTTAAAAGGGAATTCATTCCACGTGTCCACTCTTGGCTGCGGGACTTTTACATATATATAAGACCTTTCCATTCGCCTTGGTTGAAGGTTATTTTATGTCCTCATATATGAATAAAGACTCTATGTGATTCATATCTTATAATTTATTGCCTTGTTTGTTATTGTACTTGCTTATTTCTGCATATTGTCTTAGCATATTTCTATTCGTGTAACATCTTTCTATTCAAACTTTTAATGCTAGAGTTAAACCGGTTTAGTGTAAGGATAGCTCTCCCGATAGTAACACCACAGATCGAATTTCAAAATTTCTATGGGAGATCAGGTATATCTGGTAGCTAACCGACCTATCGGAAGAATACCGGTTCCGATATCAAAATTCGATCTTGTGACCTGTTTTATGATATCTCTAAAATTTTGATCACTGCAAATTGATTTACAAATTGATTTACCGATTTTCACTCCATTTTTTTTTTCTTACAAAAAAAAACCAAAAACAAAACCATAATTCTTCATAAATAAAAACTTCAATTTTGCAAAATCTGAATTCGATAAATTGAATGATGGTTAACCAATTTACAAGCTTTTCCTTTTCTTAACTCATAATATTGAACCTGAAAGACATTAAATTAATAACACTATCACAGGTTGAACGAAGGCTCATCGGCATCACGCAATCCGATTTGAAACAGATCTTGGCACAAATAGGGGGCCTTTAGGGGTTCATGTGTGTTCAATACATATCGGAATGCCGATATAGCTCTATAGAACTTTTTGATATGCATTGAACGGCTATCTGCACACGATTTGTGTCCTAAAGGTCTTCTATTTGTGCCATTGGAGCCCGATTTACCTTCATTCGACCTGTGTATCTGCCGTTAAAATATTTAAATAAAACGTATTATGTAATTAACTATTCTTGGACTTAATATGAAAAATCAAGACAAATTAGTGATTTCATTAAATCACAAAAAACTTGGTTAGAAGCAAATTTAAAGTAATGTTTAATATTTATTTTTCCTATAAATATATGACCAAAAAGCTCCATATTTCATTCACCCTCCTTGATTACTACCATTACTATCGATACAAAAGAATTCTCATTCTGGTTAATTGAGAATTCAAAACTTCCCACATATTTTCTTAATTACTATCAATAAAAGGATTCTCCATTCTGGTTAATTGAGAATTCAAACTTATTATATATTCAAATTTATTATTACTAGTATATTATGAATATGATGAAATCACTCTTTTATCTTTTTGCTTTCTTTTGCATCATCTATTGCGCGGTAGTTTATGCATCACCTATCGCTATTCCATCATCACCTACATTTGAATTTGGTTGTGCTAGTAAGAATCATTTTCTTACTATTTTATTATTTTTATTTTATTTTTAGCTACTAATAATATTTAATTGATAAATTAAGAATTCCCGGTCAATTGCGTTGATGATTCAGAATGTAAGGACGGACAAGTTTGCAGAGCAACTACTGAAGGATCTTCTTGTGCACGTAACACAACATCTACCGATAATAATAAACCTACTTCTGCTGCTGATCTCAAAAGACTTAAACATATTTGTGGTAATGGAGTTGGTGGTAAGAATCATATTTCGCACTATATACTATTATATAATTTTTATTTTATCCTTAGTTCTAATATTTAATTGATAAATTAAGATTTCCAAGTCGATTGCATCGTCAATGTAGACTGTAGGAGTGATAAAATTTGTGAATTATCTGCTACAGGATTTTTTTGTATTTGTAACGATCCAACCGGATTTAACTGTTTTTAATGTCATAGTACAGTAGTAAATTTTATTAAAATTAAAATCAATAGGGGGTTTTTTTTTATTCTAACGGTTTCAAATGTTCTTAGTATTTTGTAACCATTTTTACATTGGAATTAAGAGTAACAGGTTTTTTTTATTTTTTGTAATATAGAAATTATAATAAATAAAATCTATTAAAGGTTGATTATTCGCAAAAATTATCGAGAAGATAAAATACTCTTTTAAGTTTTAGATTGAACTAAGCAGGTTTTTTTGATTAGTACAATTAATTATAGTATTTATTTAGAGAAAAAACTGGTTTATTCAACTTATATTTTATTTTAAGGAATTCATGAATATAACCAATAAAATGTCAAACAGTCACGTCTGACTTTGAAGAAATAGTGACGGAACATTCTCAACTCAGCAGATTTACCAAAAAGGTATATATCTTCAGGTAGTTTGAACAACAAGAAGGAACTAGTGATAACATCGTGGTCATCACATCACTTGATTAAACACTCAGCCTAAGTTAGGGTTAATGTTAGGGTTAAGTGATAGGCCGATTTGTTAGTGCTGCTAAACTAATGACGTCTTGCATGATTTCACTCCTTATTCTTCAATATCTTCAGTATTCCCTGGGTATTACTTTAAATTAGCCCAGGTTTGAAAAATAGGTTAGTCATGGCAAAAAAATGTCGAGATCACAAGACCAGACGATCGCTTCCGACCACTCGGAGTATATACGTAATTTTACAAATGGTGTATCTTGATAGTCCAATAATTTATATTTTTATTATTTATAATTTTTAATATCGTATAATGAATGATATAGATTTTGTGCAATATATGATTCAAGTCAAAGTGGCAGGAAAGATCGTTGATCTTGTGATCTCGACATTTTTTTGCCATGACTAACCTATCTAGGTTTGAATAAGATGCGAAATATTGGCAGCAGTGCTATATGATAAGCGATTAACATTTCA